GGCTCATGGCAGGGGCAATGATGGACTCTACAAATCCAAGGAAGAAGCGAGCTGCCCAGAGGCCAGATGCATTTTTGCACAACACGGTCAGCATCAAAATAGCTGCCCAGACTCCCCTGTTATGTCATTAGACAAGACCATACAACTGTCTGGGTGATGCACTTACATGGCTCCTGACAGGCAGCGGCCAACGGGCAGGCGAACAAGCAGCCAAGCAACTGGCCCGGACGCAATCAGATATCCAAGGTAGAACAGACTGGTCGCCCAGGAATAGTCTTGACCCTCAAGTTTCAAGTCTGTCCGTAGCCCTAAGATGGCACTATATCCCATGGCTTGCTTGTCGAGGTATTGCAAGAGGTAGGAAACGAAGAGAAGTGGGATGATACTGATCGGATTAGTGTACATTATTTCCATGGGGGGAATACACACATTAAGTCCACTTTGCGACGAATACGACGGTCTTCTTCGGGAGTCAAAGGCGTGCCTAGCTCAGCCTGACCATCCGCCAAAGTGTGCAGAGTGTCATCGGCATCCTTGACACTGGAACTGAACACAATCTTGCTCTGATTGTCGGTGGCAACAGGTGTGTGATGGTCAGACAAATGGGCAGACATGATGGGCTGGTAATCGGTGGAATCAGGGTGGCAGATACCTCCTGAACCCATATATATGTCCCAACAAGGCAGTCTGATAGCCCTGTACCCCGAACCGGAGTCGCATCTGCCGATATCAGGCCCACTCTTATCGGATCACAGCCTTATCTGCGTCGAGTGGACCTGGTGGGTCGGATCGTATACGACGGCATTCGCGGCAGCGATACGACGGCATTGGATGGATGTTTACGACGGCCATCCATGAGGCAATGTGCTTGCTGTTCTCACATTGCTCACACCCCAGAAGCCGTATTTAACATACATTCCCTCCTGTTACCCAGGATCTGAAAAGGAGAAAAATGTCAATCGACTCTCCCAAGATCTCTACGATGGCTCCTGCCGCAACCCCTGATCTCATCCCGACTCCGGGCAAGTCTTATCCAGAACCCACGAATGCACTGTAAGTTCGACTGTTAACCTTTGATAAGGAAATGAGATTGACTCAACGGTAGTACCACGGCGCCAGAAGGTGACTGGCGGGCCCAGCTCCGGGCAGATGGCTATGCCGTCATCAAAAGAGCGATTCCGCTGGAGCGAGCCCTGAAGTATCAGCGTCAAGCGCGCCAATGGCTCCAATCTTTTGGCAATGATAATCTGGACTACGAGAACCCCGAGACATGGGTGGCGAAGAACCTGCCCGTACAGAGCACGATCAACACATTCAGCGCATATGGGGTCTCTCACGAAAAATTCATGTGGGACGCAAGGATGGAACCTGGGGTGATCGAGGCCTTTGCTCAGATCTGGGGTACCGACGAGCTTCTGGTCAGCTTCGATAGCCTCAACATTACCTTCCCGAACCGCAAGGATGTCCCTCGAAAGGGTGCCTGGGAGCACGTGGATCAAAGCCCCTTCCGGCGAGGCATGCACTGCGTTCAAGGTATCATCAACCTGTCTACATCGGGGCCCAACGACGGCGGCTTGGTTGTCTATCCGGGGTCTCATCGCCACCACGACGAGTTCTTTGACGAACAGACTGATCGCGCGACCTGGGGAGTCAAGGATCTATATTGGTTCCAGGAGGACCAGCTGTCGTGGTTCAAGTCCCGCGGTATTGCTGCGCACAAGATCTGTGCTGAAATTGGGGATTTGATCGTGTGGGATAGTCGGACCATCCATTACGGGGCCGAGCCCACAGAAGATGGGAATGTGATTCGCACCGTTATCTATGCTGCATACTCCCCGGCGAGACTCGCATCCCCCGAAACCTTGGAGCGCAAGGCTGCCGTGTTCAAACGATACGGAGGAACCACGCACTGGCCTCATGATAATGTTGTCATTCGCAAGACCTGGGCCATCTTACCGGATGGAACCCGGGATCCACAGGATCGAGACGAGCCTTTGGAGTTGCCGGACATGACAGATCGATTGTTGAAGCTTGCAGGAGTAAAGCCCTACTAGCCAGTACTAGTTGTATCATTTAGATCGAGAGTGGTGGTCCACACTGAAATGACACGTGCATCCGAATCGTAACCGGATTGATTAAGAAAGTAGATTGTGCCGGGTGCCTGAGGCCCGGCTGATAAGTGACTGGCCGTTATCGCGGACGCCTCCGCCCCTTCATCCCAAACTCCCCCCTCGTTCTGACTGCAACATTCTCTCCCCCACTATTAACCATGCCTCGTCAACGCACAGCCTGCTTCAATTGTGCTTCTATCAAGAGTGCGTGTAGCCGTGGCCACCCCTGTCAGCGCTGTAAGCGTAAGTACCGAGCCTACGGATGAGAGTTCATTCTAAAAGCCCCAGGCCTGGCGTTGACCTGTTCTTATGCATTCGCACACCTTCGCAAATGGACGGACCCCGATGAAGGGCAGCATCAATACCGACAGAGGGTGCGCCATCCTCGTTCTCGCAGTGGCTGTGGAAATTGTGTGCGTCGGTAAGAATCAACCTTGGGCGATGATGTACACCGCTGATTCCCCCCAGACGAAAGAAGTGCGACGAAGTATTCCCCAAATGTGGCGAGTGTCGTCGATTGGATATTCCAAATTGCAGGGTGAGAGGAAGCAAAGGCACTGATGATGAGCGGCAAGGAAACCAAATACCTGTCTGTGAGAGTCGCCAAGTCGATGTCCGGGTGCATCCCAGAAACACCAGCCCATTGGATTCGAAAGTGAATGAATACCTCGGTTACGTCGCGTCATTGCCAGAGGGGGACCTAACGGGAATCACCCGCCGCGGGCACTTGAATGAAAGCAGCGCGCTGCACTACCGACGTGGAGCCCAAGATAGTGTTCAAGAAAGGGAGACGACGAGTGACGTTCTTGCGTTGGGGGAATTGGCTCGCTTGACACCAGCGAATATGCCCGATTTAGATGCCACTGAGCACCATTTGTTCTTACATTACATGCATCATGTTGGCAGGACATTGGCGGTGGTGAGTGACCACGAAAATCCCTTCCTCCAGGAAATCCCCAAGATGGCCCTAGAGGTCAAAGCAGTCCGGCATGCCATGCTCGCTTTCGCTGCTTGCCATCTGTGCAAGGTCTATCCAAAGTTCGAGAACAGCTTGATCCGTCAGCATAGTTTGGCTCTCCACTACCTGAAGCTCGACCTCCGAGCACAGCAGAAGACTGATTACATTTTGGCAACCTCTCTCCTGCTTTCTCTATATGGGGTAGGTCTTTCCCAGCCATTCTCCCATACCAGTTCATCAGCTAACCACTGTCTCTAGATCTGCCAGGGAAATTCCCAAAAATGGATCCTTCACCTCTACGGAGCAAAAGCCCTCATCGACTCACACCTCGACTGTCTCAGTCCGACACCACTATCCGAGTTCCTGCTCGATCTCTACGATTCCATCTGCTGCAAAACTAGAATTACCTGCGACAAGGTACCCGGCTTACGGGGCGGATATCCATTACTCTCAACCTACAACGAATCACCCCCCGACAGCATCCATCCCCTCTTCGGTCTCGCCGGCGATCTATACCAATTACTAGATTCAATCACCCAATTAGCCCTCGACCGAACAAACCCCGATACCACATCCCAAAAGCAAGCCTTCCTGTTCACACAGGCCCGAAGAATCGAAAAACAACTCCACCTATGGGCTGTACCCGCCAGAGTCAACCATCCGAACACCCAACTCCTCCACGATAACAAACTGGCAGCAGAAGCCATCCGATGGGCCGCGCTGATCCAACTACACCACGTAATGGGCGAATCATACAGTACCCCGACACAGCACCACAACGCAGCAGCTGAGAACATACTAACTGCCATTGCACAAATCCGTCCCGGCTCACCGGTAGACGCACAGTTACTACTCCCGCTCTTCATGGCCGGATTGAATGTAGCTAGGAAAACGGAACGACTACAGGTCGAATATCGGATTAATTTGCTGGAGAGTAGTATTGGGATGGGGAATATAGCGGGTGCTCATCAATTACTGGATCGGGTTTGGGAGTCCAGCAATGGGGAGACTTTGGATTGGGAGGCGTTACGGCGAATGGAATGGGGTTATGTGTTGTTGTATTGAACTTGTATGTTACTGGGACCGGCGACGATGATTACATTGAGATCTATTCAGGGAGACTAATAATGAGGACATCATCAAATTGAACAAAAAAAAAAGATGAGATGGACGTTGATGACGTACACCATGATCCTGCCGGGGAATAATCCCAAGTGTAGAGCAGAGTAAAGTTCAATCCGATAAGAAACTGTATTCGGCGTATCGGCCGGACCGATATTCGATATTCATTCGGGAATCGGCCGGGCCGGATGCCGAGCCACAGGGCTATACTATGCTCTAGATAGTCAGGAATCCTCTGACACCGGATGAGCTCCGTCACGTGAAAAGATCATTCAGTGTCAGGATTTGAATCCTGACAGCGGATGAGCTATTCTAACACTGAATGAGCTATTCTGACACTGAATGAGCTATTCTGACACTGAATGAGCTATTCTGACACTGAATGAGCTATTCTGACACTGAATGAGCTATTTTCATACTTAATTATTATATCTACCTATATTTACTACAAATATTAAAGTATTTTAAGATCTTTTTAAAATATTCAAGTATTAAAAATTTTCAAAAAAAAAAAAAAAAATTTAATCACGTGCAGGGCTGATTCAGTGTCTGAATTTATTATATAACTATAAAGTTAATTCAGTGTCAGACTTAAAAATATCAGGTGACTGAGCTTATTCAGTGTCAGAAAATCTCTGAACCAGCCAGAGCTGTTTTTCCGGCACCGGTCTGACACCGTCGCACTAAATCCTGACCCCTTCGGAGCTGTATCCCCGACTTAGTTGTGCTTCTCAATGATCGGAACCATGTCTCAATTCGAAATGTAATGGGCTTATTTACCCTTAAATGGGTCGCATAACAGAAAGTTCGGCCTTGTATATCAATGGTAGATTGTCAGACTCCTAATCTGGAGGTTGTGGGTTCGAGTCCCACCAAGGTCGATATTTTTTATCCCAATCTACGCCAGATTTTTAGTTTTTGGGAAACCGATTTTGGCAAATCGCCGCTTCTCATTGGCTCCATTATATCTCCAGCACGGGACTGCTTATATTGCCATTGTTGACCTCTCGAACTTGCACCAAGACCGGATGCCGACTAATGCTCTAATGCTGTCCCCCAGAAAACTACAACCCAACTTTTCCCCTTTCCTCTGCATCTAGATACTTGCCACTTATTTACCCACACTACATTTATATATCTGTATATAGTATATATGGACCAGGGTTCTCAGGGTGCTACAGACCCTGCATCAGGCACCGCGCTCTTTTGGTGCATGGGCGAAGTGTTTAAAAGATACTTGATAAGGCAATTTGAGGGCCTTTGCGGTGCGCTCCATGCGTCTGGCAGGCCCGTTGGAGACATGTTTGACGGGGCTACTTAGGAAACATTTGACTGGGTGCTTCAGAAGATGTGCTGTAGAATATCTATTCGGCGGCGAAAAATAACTTACAGGCAACCAACTAGGGATAGTGCGGCTGTAGCGGCTAAAAAGATTACTAGGTACATGATCAAAGTTCCCGGATCAAGTTTAGGGTGTTGTTGTTACACCACTAAGCCGTCTCCAGCTAGCGGCAGTCTCTAATCTGCGGTAAGTCTGAGACGACATGCGGTACGAGTAACCTCAGCCCTAAAAACTTAATAGACGAACATATAATGATCTACAACGCCCCAAATGCTTCAAAAAAAGAAGAATCGACCCACGCGTGACTCGAACACGCAACCTCGAGTACCGGAAACTCGCGCGCTACCATTGCGCTAGCAGGCCCCTTTTGATATATTTATTGCTTAGTGCTTAAAATTATATTCTAAAGAAGTTTACAAACCTGTTTTGCGAGGATTTGGGCTAATGGATCAGAAGAAATATTGCCTCGATGACCTTTACCCCTTATAACAGGAGGCAAATATCATGCTCTTATAATTACTATACCGAACTCACAATTCATAGATGTCTAAAAGCTAATGGTTTGCATATTAGGATCTAGATACCAACTTCCCTTGGAATGTGTGATATTATATATAATGTTATGCCTATCCTCTGTGTCTCTTATGGATGCAGAAGAATACTACTACTACTATTCTTGTCTGGGACATAGTACCAGACTCCTATAATGAGATTCTAATATATTCATCCTAGCATTACCATACAATATGCTTTATTTATCTTTTTTTTTTTTCTCTTTCACACACTAAAAATAGGTGTATACATATATCCGGATCATAAGGGAGGGGAAAAAAGAGAAAAGAAAAGCCAAAAATGAAAATGCAGGGCATGCCGTCCCCTTGGATGTAATTGAGCTACACACTGGAAATTTAACGATTTCTCTTATTCTCGAGAATCATGCAGGGAAACTCTCCCATACCCAAACGAGCAAAAATGACGAGAAAGAATGTTGGCTTATCTCCAGTAATCACTCAACAGGTCCTGTCACATCCCTCCGAAGCAAACATATAAAGACAGGTACTATTGTCCTATAGTAGTAAGCTGACTGCATTCACAAACACACCAATCATAATAATATCCTGTACCCTGCCATAACCAGTATTTATGTTCAACTTCCCTCAATATGTACTGGACGATCCGTTTGGTCTCTCCTCTCGAACATAAGACCATTCCATTGGTTGAGCTCTATTGCACCACCCGGCCAAGATTTGAAAGTAGTCCAACCAACAAAGTCCTACCAGAGTCACCTAACTCCACATGCACAGTGTATGTCTTGTAGCTGGTAAACAGCTGTACCCTCACCATAATGAGGTCCAGAAACGCGATGCTATGGTCCTTGACGCAGTTATACCCATGTCAAGTTTGCAATAAGAACTACATCGGCGTTCTTATTCTCAAAGGCCTTGATAATTTCCCCTGTCAGTGGACCCGTCGTCACGTCTCATACGATGTAAGTCAGCCAGGCTAGCCCCTATCCTTTCTTTCCCATCACCCCCGTGTAGTCCACATTGCGATCACAGGACACGTACGGAGATAAGATAATCACCGCCGGATAAGATCTCGATAAGATGGAATATCGAGGTTATTTTCACTTTTCTGGCAGTTCAGAGAATCGCGACAAGAATAAGAAAGATTCAGTGCAGTGGACAATAATCCACCACCTCGTGTAAGGTGGATATCAGATGGATCTGAACATATAGCCGAGAAAAAAAGTGAAATTCGGAATAGAAAGCACAAAATGGTCTACTAGCTCCAGCTCTCTCATCGAGTGATCTTAAGTACAGTAAGCTCGAATTTACTAGATTCAAATAAAGAACAACGCTGCTTTATTCTTAACTGGAGGTATCATGTGGGGATCTAAAAGATCAGAACGAACAAGGGGATGAAGGTGGAAGTAATCTTTATTGTGATAGCGATTAGGTGGAGCATTTGTAAAATGTCAGGGCAAAACGGGCGACCGTGGGAGAAACCCCATTCAAGGCAATCGCTGCCTGGCCCTGAATATGGTACGCTCGATATGGTTAGTCTCTCGCAGGCAGAAGTCACGTGGAACGCTGGTGCCTGGATGGCCCACCCAAGCTCAGACCAATCAGATCGGCAAACCCTCAGGGTCTCAGGCAACAGCCGCGGCGGAAGCCTCAGGCTGTGGACCGGCAGGCAAGCAGCGATAATCTACAATGACATCCTACTTCACTCAGTTCATTCCCTTATATAGCCATGTCTCTTCGGCCCCCTCCATCAAATTCCCCCAATCACTCAAGGCTACTCCCACTGTGCCTACTTCTTTACGACTCTTATTTCTAGTTGCACTCATTCGCTGCGCACACGATCTCATCTTCTCCCCCTTTCTTTTCTCTCACCCCACACCCAAACTCATCACAACCCATAACCCACCGTCGCCATGCCCACTCAAGCTTTCAAGGGACTCAACATAGCTGTTGGTGGGACCTTTCCCGGCTTCAAACAAGGTGAGAGCGTCCTTGCTAATTAGCGCTACATACTGATACGGTTTATCATAGCCGACCTACAGACCATAATAAAGCGAAATGGAGGCACATTCAGCACTGCAGTTACAGAGGAGTGTACTCACCTAATAACCACCCAGAGAGAAGTGGATAACAAGAGTGTCAAATGTGAGTATTAGAGAACCCATCCACTTTACCTGCTAACGACCTCCAGACAAGCAAGCTTCCAATGTCTACACATGTAATATCGTATCGTTGAGTTGGCTCGTCGACTCCGACAGTGCAGCCAAGAAACTCGACGAAAAGGACTTTTTGATGAGTTCTGACAAGAAGGATGACACCGAAGACGAAAAACCCAAGAAGCGCACTCTGGAAGAGGCTCTGGGTGTCAACGAGGATGGCACTGCCAAGAAGCTCAAGGATGCGCAGACTGCCGGTGCCAAAGCGATCAGTGTTCCCGTGGACGATCTTTGTCCTCTTCGAGGTGCGCATACAGACCGCTCATCATCGATAGTAGCTAACAGACGCAGCCACCCACGCAGTGTATATCGATTCCACTGGCCTCATCTGGGATGCGACACTGAACCAGACCAGCGCGACCAACAACAACAACAAGTTCTACCGCATACAGCTTCTTTTTAGAAACAAACAATTCCAGACATGGACTCATTGGGGCCGAGTCGGCGAAGTCGGACAGAGTGCCCTGCTTGGAGATGGCTCATTCGACTGGGCGGAGTCTGAATTCAGGAAAAAGTTCAAGGACAAGTCGGGCTTGACCTGGGACAACCGCCTCGACCCTCCGAAGAAAGGCAAGTATACTTTCATTGAGCGGAACTACGAAGACGATACAGAAGACGAAGACGAAGATGCACCAGCGAAGCCCACCAAGGCAAAGAAATTGGAAGTGAAAAGCGCTTTGCCTTCAGCCGTTCAGGACCTTATGGCATTCATCTTCAACCAAGAATTCTTCCTATCCACCATGGCCTCCATGTCGTACGACGCTAAGAAACTGCCACTGGGGAAGCTCAGCAAGCGCACCCTTCGCGATGGTTTCCAGGCCTTGAAGGATCTGTCGGAGCTTATTGCCACTCCTGCCCTGGCAACCACAAAGTACGACACGACCTTTGCTGCTGCAGCCGAATACCTCAGCAACCAGTATTTCACCAAAATTCCTCACGTGTTTGGGCGCAACCGACCCCCTGTGTTGAATCAAGAGAATATGCTCAAGAAGGAAATTGAGCTTCTTGAAACCCTGACGGATATGGAAGTTGCCAACTCCATCATGAAAGATGCAAAGGAGGCTGACACAATTCATCACCTTGACCGCCAATTTCAAGGTCTGGGCATGCGAGAGATGACTCCATGTATGTCTGTTCCGCCTGCACCCTACTTTCATACTAATTTGAATAGTGGATCATGCCTCCGCCGAATTTATTGAGCTTGACAACTACCTCAACCGTTCCCGCGGTTCCACCCATGGCATAAAATATAAGGTTCGTATCCAACATGTCATCGCAGAACGTGTGCTAATCATGGCAGGTCATTAACATCTTCCGCATCGAGCGTCAAGGCGAAAACGATCGATTCGAGTCATCCAAGTACGCCCGGATTAAGAATTCCAGCCGCCGTTTGCTCTGGCACGGATCCCGCAGCACCAACTTTGGTGGTATCCTGAGCCAAGGTTTGCGCATTGCGCCCCCCGAGGCTCCTGTGAGCGGATACATGTTTGGCAAAGGTGTCTACTTCGCGGACATGTCCACCAAGTCAGCCAACTACTGCTGCCCCTATGGTAGTGGAAACAAGGGTCTGCTACTGCTCTGTGATGTGGAAGTCGGCAACCCCATGCTTGAGCTAGACCGGGGTAACTACAACGCGGGCGATGATGCGAAGAAGGAAGGCAAAATCGCAACCCTGGGTCGTGGTCGTTCGATTCCTGCCGCTTGGAAAGACGCAGGCTGTGTCAACCGTGATCTGCAGGGTGTGTTGATGCCCGACGTGTCGGTTTCGGCGGCCAATGCGACGTCCCAAGGGCTTC